AATATGAGAAACTGAAAAAATGGAAATAAAGTGTTTGTAAATGGAGAGGGGAGGAGGGGGTGAAGGGAGGGCATGGACAAGGGGAAAAATGAGAATCAAGACCTATTATGTAAAGGTACAGAATCCCAATGATGAATGTAACTGTATTGTATACCTAGATTGTACCAATAACCTCAATAAAAAGAAAAAAAAAAAAAGAGTTCGAGGTAGTATGAGCCACACAGTGAGTTCAAGGCCAGACTGAACTACATAGTGAGACCCTATCTCAAAAAACAAAAAAAAACAAAATTAAATAAATAAATGGGGGAAAAAAAAAGAACAAAAAGCAGGGAGAACCAGGTGTGGAGCTTGCCTGTAATCCCAGTACTCTAGGAGGATAAGGGAGGAGGATCCCAAGTACTAGCCTAGCCAAAGCAACTTAGCATGACCCTTCTCAAAATAAAAAATGGGAGGACTGGGGATGTAGCTCAGTGGCGTGGCACCTGCCGTGCAAATGCAAAGTCCCGCGGTTAGGGATATTGCTTAGTGTGAAGGTTTTAGGTTCGATCCCCAGTACTGCTGCAAACAATTTCTGTAAAAGTTATAATTTCATACCAACATCTGGCAGGCGGTTGACTTTTCTTCCAGTCCTGCAGTTTTAATACCAAAACTCTGTTGATCTCCAAGGTTCACAAATTCCCAGCCATCGTCGTCACTCATGTTTTCCATGTCTTGGGCTATTTACAGAAGAAAACAAACGCATATGAAAAATAACAGCACAGAGAAACAGTACAGCTGATGTGTCCCTGCCAAGACACCTACTGTCTAAAAGGGCCACTTCAGGCTTGATCGAAGCTGTCTTCATTAAAGGCCCCATAACCACTGGAAGGTATTGCTGAAATTCTTTTCCAAGGATTTTGCACATTCTGGCCCATGCTGAGATCATGTAAGAGATCTGAGAAAAAGTGTAAAATTAAAACAGATTTTAAAACAACAAGTAAATAAAACTTGCTTAAGTCATTTCCCCATTTCATAGAAGCAATGTTTTATTGATATTTTCATAGCATTTTAATAAGTGCATTTCCGAGAATCAGATACTTAAAAGGTTCCAAATCAGTAACGAAATCCCTGTGAATTCTACCCTCGGACAAAGACAGCAGGTAAAGCCGTTCTATTTCTCTTTTCCTTCAAGAAGCAATTAGAGTTAGTTTTCTCTCTGAACACCTACAATACCTAAATGAAGCCAAGCATTTCAACTCCTGGGCACTAATTTTTCAAAAGCAGAAACACATCAGGGGTAACTCTGTATCCTTATTGCTTCACTAACATTAGAAATAAGGGGAAAACAAAAACCCACTGTCTTGGCTGTTATAATTTTTTTGTGTAAGTGCCTGGATGTAACTAAGACTCAACCATGGAGAAAGTGATTCTAATTCATTATGCCCGGAACCCAGAAAGCGATTCCCCCATACCTGCTTGTGCCTACTTATTACATGTGCACAATTTCCATTTCTTATTTAAAAAACAAATAGCTTTAATTGTAAAGTCGATCCATTTAACAAGTATTTAGTGGCTGTTTCCCACATGCAGATGTACTAGATGTGATGCTATAAAGGTGAACAGAGATGGTCTTGATGACCTCTTTATAGCTTAGTCCGCTCAGACTCCCTAGTGTCAGCAGTTTGTACAGTACCCTTCCTGCCCTCTACCTCAGTATACCACTTTGTGAAATTAAAAAAAAAAAAAAGAAGAACAAAAATAAACATGCCTTCTTTCCAAAATGGTATTTTCCTACTTAAACTAAGAGAAAAATTATATTTGTAGCCATGTAAAGTACAATTTTAATTCACCCAGGCCAGACAATCTTTTCCTCACAAGAGCTCATTCTCTAATCCCTCTGTAACAACGGGGTAATACTGCAGATAATAATTTAGATAGATAATAATTTATCTATTACCTCCATTCAACTTATTCTGTTTTGCTATTAAAAACATCAGGAAGTAGGGCGTGGTGGCTCAAGCCTGTAATCCCAGCACTTGGGAGGCTGAGGCAGGAGGATTGCTGTGAATTTGAGACCAGCCTGGGCTACACAGTGAGTTCCAGGTCAGTCTCAACTACATAGTGAGACCCTCTCAAAACACAAAACAAAACAAAACAACATCAGGGAAGCCAGGCGAGGCGGCACAGGCCTGTAATCCCAGGACTCAAGATGAGGGCAGGAAGATCACCAAGAGATCGAGGTAGTATGAGCCACACAGTGAGTTCAAGGCCAGAATGAACTACATTGTGAGACCGTACCTCAAAAAACAAAAAAGTAAAACTAAATAAATAAAAAAATGGGGGGTGGGGAACAAAAAGCAGGGAGAACCAGGTGTGGAGCTTGCCTGTAATCCCAGTACTCTAGGAAGATAAGGGAGGAGGATCCCAAGTACTAGCCTAGCCAAAGCAACTTAGCATGACCCTTCTCAAAATAAAAAATGGGAGGACTGGGGATGTAGCTCAGTGGCGTGGCACCTGCCTCGCAAATGCAAGGTCCCAAGTTCAATCCCCTGTACCAAAAAAAAAGATAGACATTTGTAATGTGCTACAATACAGTGCCTGACACCAAGAAAGCGAACAAACCAGGAAAGCCTTATAAAGAAGAGAAATATGAGCAGAAACCTCTCAGGCTTGTGTGTGAGAGGTGTTCCTTCTAGGTTAATGGGCTGTATGTCTATTCAGAACACATTGCGGGTTCTGAGACTGTTGTGTTTCTGTATTTCTCTCAGGAATATGTCAATTTGCACTCAATGGCTAAGAACACTCAAACGGAGACATTCAGTAAGTGGCTGATAAATCAATCCTGAACTCTGGAGAAATATCAGCAAATTCTAAGTATGCAGAAGAAACTTGCAGCATGACAGTAACACTGCTCCAGCACAGCAAGCAGATGAGCGCCTAGGACACAGCGGCACAGAGCAACCATACCGGAGAAGTCAGGGAAAGCAGGAGCGACCCATACAGAGCCTGTGTCTGAAACCATGAGTAAACAGTATCTCGAGAAAGTGATTGCTCGTTTTTCAAAAGTACGTTTAACCTTGTGCTGTCCACAATTCATAAATGGGTTAGACAGAGGCAGCAGGAGCACTCACCTGAGGATCATCATCTTCCATGTCACTGAAGTCTGTCTGAGTCTTCAGTAACAGCTGCATCACATCCGACGCATCCTGCATGAACTAGAAGAGAACATGCAGGGATTAACACTGGTGTTCACAGTGTACAGCAGATCACAGACGCACTTGTGCTACCTAATTTTGTTTAACAATAAAAATTTAAAAACCCCAACCAAAGCAAAAACCAAAAACACACACAAAACTACATTTCCCACACTGTTCATAACCCAACTGCTAAAACTATACTGAAAAATCCTCACTTGTATTAGACTTTATAGAAATCATTCTAGAAAATCTTATTTTCCACTGAAGGCCAAAATAAACTGCAGAAGGAAGGATGTCTGTAACATCATCAAGTTTTGACCTGTCTCAAGCAGAAAAAATTACTTCAAATCTGGAAAGAAAATTTGGGGTTGCCTCATATAATTCATTGCACAGAGATTTTATTGTGTATAGTTTTCATTTACCTCACCAAAGTTCAGGCACCTTCCACTGTATTATCAAATTTGGCAGTGTTGCAAGGCAGGTAGGAAAGACAGATATCCAGAGCATGGAAAATACCAATGTTTGTTTGGCTGGGTTCTCAGTGTCCCCCAGAAAGAACTTTAGAAGGTAAGTGAACATGGGTGCTGGCTTTGGAGGCAAGACAGAGGGTCTGTGCTGACAGTTCTGAGGGTCAGAATGTGAAAGGTCAAGGACGGAGGAACTTATTTTGGGTCAGATCGGACAACTCTGAGATGTGAGATGTTGGCTGAGAAGAAACACACTGGACAATGGTCCTTCCTGGTCACTTACTGAAGAGTTACATGCACTTAATTTCTCTCCCACGACACCTACTGCCTTTTAGATTTATCATAAAAGCAAACCAGCATGTTCCTAAGCACACATATGAACAAGTTGAATATATGAATACTGTGTACTCTTATGTGCCTCTCGTGAGACAGCTGTATGGTCTCAGGAAAATGGGAAGGTGGGAGCAAGAGCATAACTGAGTTAAGGACTGTTAATATTAATCACAAAAAATATACACAATAATTTACATAAAAATAGGAGTAACATAAAAGGAAAGGTGAAGGCAGAAAACACCCAGCATCCAGAAAACCATTTACCAGAAGGAAAACACTCCAGTATCCTTAATGCCTGCATAGCCACATCACATACAGGAAATTTAACGTAACACAGGTTTACTTACTTTTTCCTTCCCAACTGCCAGACCGATGAGGCTGATACATTCAATAGTTTTTCCTCTCAGAAGTCTGAGTTCCTTTTGCACTGCATTCTCAACAATGTGCTTACGTGATGGCATGAATAGCTCATAGTAGGGGACAAATTTTTCTTCTGCAGTATCTGCAACTGATGCAATGGATGTCACAACTTGTTCCAAAACTAATTTGGTGCCTTTCTGAATTAACTAGAAGAAACACACACAAAGCAGGTTACCTAAATGATAAACTGAAAGAAACAGTTAAATTTATTACTCCCTCCAAGTTTTTGAATGCTTTTCTCTAATGGCAAGCTAAGAACACCCCTCCAGAAGACAGAAGCAGAGACTATAGGTTTTGAAAAAAAAAGTTCTATAAAAACAATCCACTACTGGACTACTTATATGGACTTTCTATTGCGTCAACACAGCATTACTTATTCATTTTTATTTATCTCCAAGTCCTGCGAGTGCTACAGTTCAAGGGTAACTCCTCCTCGATCTTTTGTACTCATGAGGCTTTAATGCCTTATCTTTCCTCCTCAGCGATTTGTACCACTACTTATACTGTCCTACTATGTCATAGACAACACTCCCTTTTCTTTCTGACCCAACACTGGCTGGAAATTCTGGATAAGGAACCCTGCTCTCTGCTCAAGATGAAGCATGAAGCATCAGATGACAACCTGTTTCCCTGCACCGCTGTCCTTCAGGGTTCTCTAGCCTGGCTGATAATGAATGCACCCTGGGTATCTGATCCAGGCCCAGGCTGTCAAGATGCACACCCCCCGCTTTTTGTGGCACTGGGGATCGAACTCAGGACCCTAAGCTTATGAGGCAGGCATAGGACCACTGAGCTAAATCCTTAGCCGGCCATGCTCTTTTCATGCAGCTATGAACATTACCTTTTTTTCTGTGCCATCTCAGGAGCTCTTTTCGTCTTTAACAAATCTACACTGGCCCTCTGGGGAATGATGGGGACACACAGACTCTCTCCACATTGCAACCTTCTACCCAAGCCCACGTGTGAAGTCACACTGGATTCATCTATTCCTGATTTTTCCAACCCCCACATGGGTCCATCTGTCTGCCTGTGGACAGTTATAAAGTGTTTTTTTCCTCAGTCACAGTCTTAGTTTGCTGTCAATTGACATTGAACACCTGGGCTTTGTTGACACCGCTTTCTTTGTCTTCCGAGACATGCATTTCTCAGTGTCCTACCTACCCTGACGAATCACCAATGCTGCCCTGTGGTTTGTGAACTGAATTCAGAATATCAGAAACTTTTCTACGAATTTGACATTAAATTCATCTCTACTGGACTCAAAGGTAAAAGTGAATCTTTGTGCTTTACAATGCCACCACATCACTATTTCTTGCAGCACTTAAGAGCACAGAATAGTTCTTCCAAATTTACACAAAACCAACTTCAAAAATTCCCTCGCCTTGTTTTCAAATCAATGCATTCTCTTGAGGCCATGTCATTCCTGATTCTGACACTGGCCCGTGCTGTTTAAGCTCACTTGACTCTACTGGGATCACCTTGGAATGCCCTACTCCATTGTGGTGGTCTTAGTAAAAGCTCCTTTCTCCAAGTTCTACCCATCACATCAACCTAAATTCATCTGTAAAAAGCAAGTTTATAGGTCTTAAAACTTACCTCCTGAAGCTTGAGTACCATAATGGAATGCAGATGTTTCACCAAATTATCCAAGTATGGAATAAGCAGCGACTTGGGGCAGTCTTCAGTGAAGTTGATGAGAGCGGCGGCAGCATGGGCCTGCACTCGCTGGTTGCCTTGGTCTTCCATGGTCTGCAGCAGGGCTGCAATCACCTGGGAAATGAAGCCAAATCAGCATTCATGTTGAAAGGCTATGCCTCTTCCTACATGGCTGACTTGAGCATCTTGTTACTTGCCTTTTCATGAAATTTCTTCTGGAAACCAGGTGCAAAATCTGTAGCCATCTGTCCCACAGCATTGCAGGCTGCATACCTTACTCTTGGATGCTGCAATGTGTTTTCTTGTATTAGTAAAATCATTAGATTCCCATGTGAAATTACGGTAATAATTAGGAGTGAAATATTTACTGGTACTTACAGGATCCTGAAGGAAAAGCAAAACAAAATTTACTATCTCATTTAGAATTCCTTCCATTTGGTGGTGGCACCCTTCACCAATGGCAGATAAGGCCATCAATCCTGCATGCCGGTACTTCCAGTCAGCTACAAAAAAGAATTACATTTGAAATAATAACTAAATGCCAGAAAGAGCATTCTGGTAGTCAGAAGTATTAACACTTATATTCTAATTTGCAAAGTAACAACACTTTTTACACAGTAATAAGAAAAATGAGCCAGGCACACTGGCCATGTCTGTGATCCCAGGAGGAGCAAGAGTCAGGGACAACCTGGGCTTTACAACGAGAAAGAAAAAGGGTGTCTGATTGGACTATTTCATTTTTGAAAAGTGGCTATAGCACACAGCACTTCTATTCCAAAGGTTAAGGAAGCTGTCCCCATAAAATTTACTAAAAGCAATGAATATGTGGATTTTCTGTGTCACACACTGCTGTACTGACTGGATTACAGATTTACTGATTCCTACGTTCACCTTTTTTTAAAAAGAAAAACAGCCAAGGAGAACTGATACTCCTCTTTTTAATAATTTTTATTGGATGACTTAATTGCACTCGAAAATTAATAATGACTATTTGATTTTTGGTTAATGGATTACTAACTATACAATGTTTACTGGATTCCACATCCTATACTAGTATATTATTTCCCTGGCCCCGATTTCTAAGTATTTCTACATTAATACAGGCTATACTGCTTTAAATCCTTTGTCGAACAAAACAAGATGCACATAAATCTCAAATGGTATAGTCTAAGTACAGTGATGGCAACACTGTTCTCAAAGCAGGATCCAAGAACCTTGGGATTCTCTCAAGTTCAAGTTCTTCAGGAGGGGCTGTCAAACTATTCTCTTAGTAATATCCCTTCATTCTCATTTGAAAGGAACAATGAATGGAGTTCAGTACTACAGAGATTAGAACACGTGTGAAATCCCAGGAGACTGAATACGCAGAAGCATATAGCAATTTAGCTATTTAAACATAAACATGCAAAGTTGTTCTTGATGTTTCAGAAAACAGTCATACTTCTCAATGTTGTTTGTTAATGATTCTATTAGTATTTAAAAATGAATAAAGTATTTCTCTTGTAATTTATGAGACAGTAAACATTGATATGACCCATATAAACAAAGGCACTCTTGGACCTTTCATAATTTTAAAGATGGTCCCAAGACCAGAAACTGCCAAGTTTACTAGATTAAATTATAGAAAATTCTAAGTTATTTCAAATCCATTTTTCACTTTGGGGAGCACAAAACTGATGTAAGGTAAATAATTCTAGTACGCAGGATTCTGGAAATTTCCCACTATTCTGCTAAATATTAAAACTTTATTAGTCACAGGGATGGAGATGTAGCGTAATGGTGGCAGTTGCCTAGCATGTGCAAGGACCGGGTTCAATCCCGAGCATCACAGAACAAAAAACTTCTTACTGTTTATAGTAACATACTGCTTATGCTTTTAATTAACTTAAGTCCCTTTACATACTATGTCATAATTTCTCAACAGAAGAATAATAATCTTTAGAAATGAAGACATGACTACTAATATTTACACACTGGTCTTAATCTAAGGAAGAAATGGAACATACACCTCACATTATTTGGTTCAGGAAAACAAAAATTTGTGGGCTGGGGATATAGCTCAGTGGAGCTGCTGCCTGCCTCAAGTGCAAGGTCCCAAGTTTGATCCTCAGTTAAAAAAAAAAAAAAAAAAAAAAAAAAAAAAAATCATATATTCTCACTGTGCAAAGTACCCAGAAGCAAGTTCTACAGAATGCAATGGCAATGGTAGGGGAATGTGAGATGGTTATCACTTGAATTTTAAATTGTAAAACACTTACTGTTTATTTTTTATAGCAAACACAATGAGAGTATTTCTTGAAACAAACGAGAAGCTCCTGTTAAGTTTTCCAGAGTAAAAACATATACCGAGGGGCAAAAACTACAGAAAGCTGTATATAAACAGATATCCAAGTTATCTCCCCAACAGCATTAATTACTGTTGTGTTTTCAAACTTGAAAATATTCGTCACTTACACCTGGCATTTTCCACATACATTAAATAAATTCTAATCTTTCAACTGGGTGTAGGGCAATTATTTTAGTAGTTTACAGATGAGAAAACCAAGGTGCAAAACATTTATTGGCGAAAAGTCTGCTATACATTCAACAACTCTGTTAAAGAGTTCACTGCCAGCTGAGTGTAGTGACACATGTCTTTAACTCCAGCTACTTGGGAGGCTGACACAGGCGGATTATAAGCAGGAGGTCAGCCTGGGCAATTCAGCAAGACCCTGACTCAAAATTAAAAAATAAAAAGGGCTGGGAACATAGCATTGTATGCCCTGGTTCCAATCCTCCCTAGCACAAAACCAAACAGAACCAGTTCATTACCACAAATGAAAAGCCTTCTACCCCTAGTAGTGAGCTGTTAACAGTCAAATTCTTTTAAGTGAATGTCAAGCACATTCACAACAAATCATGAAAAGTCATGTGAATCAATGGAGGAATACTCTCTCTCTCTTTTTTTTTGGGGGGGGCCAGGGTTTGAACTTGGGACCTTGTGCTTGCGAGGTAGGCAGCAGAACAACTGAGCTAAATCCCTGGTCCAAGGGAGGAATACTGAGTGCTTGCTGCCTTGAGCAATCTTTTATTATCACTAGGTTTCACTTTCTTCAGCTTAAAACTGGAAAACAAGATTTACTACAAAGCAGCTCTTGTAGGTCAAGCAATCTGTGATGATGTCTCTATACTTCTGTAAAAAGACTACAAAATTGCCGGGCACAGTGGTGTTAACACCTGTAATCCCAGCACTAGGGAGAATGAGGCAGGAAGATTACTGCAAGTTTAAGTTAAGTCTCAATTTCAGTAGAAGTGTTTGGATCAGCATTATTTGTTTGTTTGTTTGTTTGTTTTGGTACTGGGGATTTAACTCAGGACGGTGCACTTTCAAGGAAGGCATCACTGAGCTAAACCCGTAGACCCTGGATCAGCATTATTTGTAATCAACAAAAACTATCACATTTAACTAGGATTCTGAATATGTGGCGAAACGAGAAATGGTAGAGTAAAAGCTCACTATAGTGTGTCTATATGATATAAGCACACTGAAAATAAAGCTAATACATAAGCATAAATGAAGTCAGAGAAAAGTTTCTGAGTGCTGTTAGCAGTGGTCATCTGTGAATACCAAGTAAAAGACTTGTAAGTCATACACTTCTGTGGGTTTTTTTTTTTCTTTTGGAGACAGGATCTATCTGTGTAGTTCAAACTGGTCTCAAAAATCACTATGTAGCCCAGGCTGTCCTCCAACTTGAAGTGATCCTCCCGTCTCAGCCTCCCAACTGCTATAACGACAGCCTGCACCAATTCATTTCTTTTAATTTTTGAAATATATCAATCACATTAACCTTATAATTAAAAGGGAACACGTAAAATGAAAACATACACTGGGCCTAGCGGTGCATGCCTGTAATCTCAACACTATAGGCGACACAAGATAGGATTCTGAGTTCCATCAGCCTAGGCAATTTAGTGAGACCCTGTGAAAAGGTAGACAGGGTGAGGGTAACCTTTGGATATAGCTCAGTAGGTTCAATCTCCAGTACTGAAAAAAAAAATTCTTTTTTTTAATAGACAATATTAAATGAAGAATTATATGAATGTCATGCTAATGTCATAAAAATTCATATAAGGATGTCTTATTTAAATTAAAATCTAAATATTTCTGGCTAGGGAATAAATCTATAGATTTTCTTTAGAATTGATAATGTTTTCCTATATATTGAAGCCAATTCTGGGGAGGGAAAGTTAAATAATATTCTTGGCAATGAGGAAAAACATTCTTTAGCATAAGATATGGCTCCAAAAAAGCCTAAATAAAATTACACCAGTAGAACCTAAGAATTAGGTTAGGCATCTATAAAAGGCAAAGATTAAAACAGTCTTCAGCTTTAAGATTAGAGAGCCATATTTCCCCACTGTAGCATGTGAAGCACAGATCGCTTACGGTTTTGAAGCATTTGCATAATGTGTTCCTTGATCATCGGCAGAACAAGCTTTCCACCAAGTCCACAAGCCATCCGGTCTAAAGCACTCTCACCAGCCACTGCGTTGCTGAATACACAATTAACATATACAACACACTGAGTATGCAAAGAATGGTGCACTAAATATGCTATTAAACTAGGGTGGGGAAAGAATTCAAGCAGTCATCTGCATGTGCTACTGAAGTTGTGGGTTAACAACCTTACAGGTAAAAATAAAGAGTAAATAAAAACTTTTGTCATGCTGTACCATCTGAACCTTACTTCTCTGAAGTCAGAGGTAGAAAGCAGGTTGCTAATTGTACCTCACTTTCTAGAAACACATGCCTTAAACTTACCAGTGGATAGAACCTAGGAAACTGAAAGGGGTGCTCAGAATGGACAAGATTTTCCCCTCTGTGACAGTTTATTCATCTTTAAAGGGGTACGAAGGAGCCCTGCCAACAACTATGCACAGGCTTCACTGAAAACAGATTAGTGCACAGAAGCACTTGCAGCTACTCTGGCTCAGAGCTGCAAGATTAGCAGGGAATAATATGCCCATATGTGTAATATTTAACTGCTCTGCAAAGATAAAACTGTAAGTAAAATGAAACTATAAATGATCTTTAGAATAGGTTTTTGGACCTAAAATTCTGATCCTGAAAACAATTATGGAAAAAATTAAAGTAACGCACTGGTAAGAAAATCTTATCAAGCCCAGAAAAATAAGTTTCTTAAACCACAAACTGTATATTTAAGTGCCGTTTTCAGGACAAATTAAGGGACAGGTAGTAGCAGCATGCTGCAGTAATTGAATCAGAGAAAGGAAACCTGATCCAACCTCAGTGTTCTCTTCAGCCCAGTCAAGTTTACTTTAATACACTTCAGTAGTGCTGGGGCTGTAATCAGTCATGTTTAATAATGAGATTAGGCTGCAAAACTGCAGCATATAGTCTATAAATGTTACTAAGCTGTAAGACTTTAACGAACTCACTAAATGGCTATGTAACCTCAGACAAATCAATCTTTTTTTACTATTCATTAAGTCCATCGGTACATTTTCGCAATATAATAAAATGACATTCATCACTGTAAATTTATACCTGTACATGATATATCTTGGTTCTTATTTTTCCCCCATTCTCCTGCACTCCTTTGAAAGACTTTGTTTCCATTTTTTACCTTTTCTCTTTTTTCCTTCCCCTAACCCTCCAACTTCCCCTTTAGATCTTTTCTTCCTATTTCACATTATCTATTATGCATTTTGATCCTTATAAATATCACTCAACCTTCACTCTCCAGTTGTGTATCTGAAAGTCATATACCTTCGGGACAACTGAAAAAAGTCAACTAAGGTAACAGCTCCAAAGTACTGTTTCATACCCTTGTCAGGTGCTGTCATCACCTCTGCCAGCACAGACTGTGGGTGCCTTTCCACAGGAATTGGTACTGATGGGGGCTACTGAACTCCAATGACTACTACAGTAACCCCAGGGTCACCATCACCCAGTGGACAATCTCATCACTATACCCCCTGAATCCCAAACTTAAAACTCCAGTATACTGGGAAAATAATGTTTTGTAGGGAATTCTGCTTAAGCAACTGTTAAAATGAGGTCTATGCATATAAAAGTATCACAATAAAGCTTATTCCTGTGATTTTCAAAAGAAATTCCTAGTTTTGAAGAAAATTTAGAATGAAAATGTAAAAAATATGGTAACTTTATTTGCTGTATTTCGAGTTTGTTGCATCTTTTCTGACTACAAAATAGTTATATGTACTATTCTACACTAGTAAAGTATGCTTTAAGAACTTTAAATATACGTATTTAAAAAATACAAATTGTATATGAAAAATAATACTTATAAAAACTGCAACGTCTGGTCACACACATTACACAGTGGGAAGAACTGGGCTTCGCAGCCCTAAAGTTCTCCCTGCCCCCTTGGCCCTCCACCCGCACTCAGTGTGCCATTACCTATCAAAGTCATCATCTTCTAGTTCATCCGCATTCGCCCAGTCCTCGTCCTCTTCCAGATCAACCATCATGGCTAACATCTGAGGAACTAAAGCAAAGAATCAGTTCACAATCAGACTGACTTCTTGTACCCTGTCAGTATCACCTCTATTATGAGTAAGAATTTTAAGTGAGAGTGTACTTTGCCTCTAAGAAAGTGAAGTAAGGTAATGAAGTATATAGTCCGCGCTCTGAATCCATCACTTCTACATTCAGATTTAACCAACCTCAGATCAAGAGCATTCAGGGAAAAATGTGTACTGAACAGTGTACCTTTTTTCTTTATTATTACTCCTTGAACAAGAAATATGGCTTAAGGATTTACACAACATTAACATTATATTTGCTATTGTAAGTTAATAAATACAGGATTTAAGGGATATGAGAGGTTCTGAGAAGGTTACACAGAAATATTGTACCATTTCTTTCATAAGAGGGACCTGGAAGTAATCTCCCATGGCTATCAAAGGGTGAGTATATATTTGCAGGTGCCCCAAAATCTGGCTTGTTCTGTTGCATGTGTTATTTTAGATCTTTTTTAAAGGTAACATTACCACGATCCCCAAATTTTATTGCATTCCCTTCCTCTTCTTTTCACCAGAGGTAAGTAAGTACTATCACAAAGTGTCTACCATCCCAAACTGTTTTTGCACTTGAACTACACTTCTCAATTTCTATACAAAATCACACACTATTTTTTGAGATTTTACAAACACATTAAATGATATCATAATGTATGTACCTTCAGCAGTCTGCTTTTTATTTCAGCAGAAGAACTTCATTAATTATATAATCTACTAAATAAAAGAACGACTCAGAGGCCAGGGATTTAGCTCAGTGGTTCCACCACCTGCCTAACAAGCTCAAGGACCTGAGTTCAATCTCTGGTATCGAAAAAACAAACAAACAAACAAACAAACACACTACTCAGTCCTGCTGATGAACAATTTGTTCCTAATTTCTTCCCTTAGAATTCAATTAGATGAGACTATTACAGTCTCTTCCTTGGCAAGTGTGAGAGCCTGGGCCTGAAATTGTTCCAACTATCTTAAATACTCCTAAGAATCTTGAAGACTCTCCCCTCGGCGGCTGCACACACTTACACTGCTTTGGAAGCTGCCCAGGACACCTGTCTTACTTCACAAGAGCGTGTGCAGTGCGTTGGAGATGGACTCTGTCCTCACAGCAACAACACTGCTCTCAGTGCTCCAGCCTGCCAGACGTCTTGCCTACTCCAATTCCACAACCGCGCTTACTTCTACTGGGACTCCAGTGTTCACTCACTAGGTCAGGATCCTCCTCCATGGTTTTTCCGTTCTTGACCTTTGTCTGTTTTCTAGATGACCAAATTTCACTGAATGTGCGCTCTTATAATTATTTTTTTCACGTTTGGGGCTTGTCTTTTAGTGTAAAATATTTGGTTGGTCAAAAGATTCTGTCTTAGTATGTGCAAACATAGCAGGGTTTGTGACAGTCTTAAAAATTCTTCTGTACCATTACATTTTTCATGTCAAATGTTATTTATATTTAGGCCTTTAATCAACCCCAAATATTTTTATTAAGTTACACGGAGCTGGACTACTCCAGGACCTGTGTCCTTCATACCAACTTTAGGATCAATTCTATGATGACCAATTCTATTAGGACTTTGACTGAAATGATACTGGATTTATCACTGAGAAGAACTAAAGTTTACCTCTTTTATTAGTCTTTCAATGTGTTACTCTATTCTACTTTCTCCATAAAGGTTTTACACATCTTTGGATTTTGAATCAGATTTCCCATTATGAGCTTTTTTCCTTTTCTAGTAAATTTTCAAAGTAATCATATTGATATATAGGAATTAATTATTTTAATGTTCTTAAATATAATAACCTTGCTAAGTCTTTTGAATAGTTCTAACAATTTACCTCCTTTTTGGGTAGGCAAAAACCACACCCTACAAATACCTAGCGTCTTTGTTTCTCATTCTTACTTTGTATCTAAAGGCACCATCAGGAACTGTCAGTACAAAAGAAACAGTGACAGCGAGGATACTTCCCTTCTTGTCTTGGATGGGAAAGTTCCTAAAATTCTGACCACTACCTCAGCATAAGATAACAAAAGGTGCCACTACAAAATAAATCTAGTAACATAACTACTTTCCAAACCTAGTGTTCAAATACCTGATGGCATGTGAAGAATTGGCTAGATCAGAAAGCAATCAGGTTGGTTCCTAAGTTCTTATTCCGACACAATAAAACTTAAAAGTACTATTTCCAAAGCACTAAGATCCAGTGTGATAGTTATGTAAATTTCTTCTGCAAAGAGTATAAAACAAAGCAACAAAATATACTGAAGCCAGGCTGAATCACTGTCAGATCTGTGTGCTAATCCCATTTTCATTAGTAACGCCACAATTACATAATCTTGGTTTTCAGTCTGCTACGAGATATATCCATGTATCTAGAGATAGATATACTAGATATCTATATTCCCCTGCTGATTATTTTTGACCATTAGTTTTGTTAAACACTTAACATATAAATGATACAGCAGTCTATCACACTGTCCACTACAGAAATTCTTTTTTTTTTTCCTGCTACTGGGGATTGAACTCAGGACCTTGTACTTCCGAGGCAGGCATAATGCCACTGAGCTAAATCACCGGCCCCAGAAACTACTTTTAACAAGAGGTTACAAGAGTCTGCAAAGTTTTACAAGTCAAGTCACAATACTGGGTCCGAAAATACATGTATGGAGATGCCCCCGTTTTATCTAATTTGAAGGAGATATTCATTATATTCTCAAAAACTCTTGAGACATCACATAAGACTCAGCAGATTTATCCAGCATTTTGTCATATTACACATAAACTTCTGAAGACCTTTGACTTACTAGTCTGTGCGATGATATTTGTATGCTTTCTTAACACAGCTGCTGCGGTCTCCGAGAGGGTCACGATCACTTCCAGGGCAAGCTGGCGCTGCATGTTGTTGAGGCTGGTGTCTGCACACAACTGCAACAACACATCGGTACACATTTAAAGCTTTAAGTTACCACTTGCAAAACGAAACACAACATTTACTAAAGTACCTTCATTTACCTTCAGACTTAGCTGCAGAGTTGCTTCCAAGTGAGGGCGCAAATACTTGGGAACAGTATCTGCGATTTCAACAAGAGATTTTAGGACCGAATCATCATTCTGGTAGCACGAGTCATTTACAGCCTAGAGACAGAACATAAAAACAAATGTCTGGATTCAAGACTCACTTTATGATACCTCATTAGCCGAAACAGTCCTAAGAGGCAGTCAACAGAGGACAATCACTAAACTTGGAGTTCGATCCCCAGCACCCTCCCAAAAAAAGACGAAGGAGTTGGGCATGGTGGCACACGCCTGTAATCCCAGCACTCAGGAGGCTGAGGCAGCAGGATTGTTGTGCATTCTAGGCCAGCCTGGGCTACATAGTGAGTTCAGGGACAGCCTGAACTACAAAGGGAGATCCTGCCTCAAAAAATTAAAAAGGCATTAACAAATGCCATTATGTGAAGAAAGAACTCTCATACATTGTTGGTGGGAATGTAAATAAGTGCAACCATTATAGAAAAACTGTATGGAAGTTCTTTAAAAATATAGAAACAGCTGCCATATGATCCTACATTCTCCTGTGTACATATCCAAAGGAATTAAGATCAGCACGCTGAAGAAACATTTGTATTTGCATACTTATTACAGTAGCACTCAAATAGCCAAGATATGGAATCAATCTATGTGTCTACTGAGAGATGAATCGATGCAGAAAATGTGGCATACATACATACATAATGGAATATTATTCGGCCATAAAAGAGCAGAAAATTTTTCATTTCTGACAACATGGAGTTGAAAGATATTCAGCTAACTCAAATAAGTTGGGGACAGAGACACAAATAATACCATATGTTCTTTTTTAAAAAATACCATATGTTCTTACATGCAGAGATTAAGAAAGTTGATCTCATAGAAGTCCAGAATAGAACAATGGTTACCAAAGCCTGGAAACTCTGTGTGTGTGTGTGTGTGTGTAGTTAATACACAT